TTTTCCGCCCTCGCCACTTCCTCTAAATCTCTCGCCATTCAAGTAAAGAAAACGCAGGTATATGACACCGTGAATGTCACTTTCTGCTAGACGAGCTACCAGATCAATATAATGAGAGAGACAATGACGGGGGTTGCAGGCGGCATCGCTTACCCGGAGTTCTAATGGTAGACGGACATGTCCAGAGTGTAAAGGTGCGGGGCTGGAGTTGGATGCTCTTTAGAGATCATTTTGCACTTCTTATACGCCAATAGATGATACCAAAACCAAACAACACACAAATTATCCCGCCCTTCTCTTTCTAGAGATTACTGCTTGAAATTCGCTGTACTGACCATGACCGAACGCTTGGCCGGCCAGTCTTTATTTCCCAGGTTCTTAGACAATAGCTTCTGGAACGTAGTGCCCAGCCCGTCGGTGCCATAAAAACAACATCAGAACAACGTCCAAGAACAATTCTAAGCATCACCAATATTACCATCCCAACAATAGGTACCATTAACTGTTGCTAACGGCCACCAAAGAAATGTATTAAATCAGCAATAACACTAAAACGTTCAACACGCTGGTCCCAACAGCTACTATAAAACTTACTGTGGAGCAGTGGTTAATCTCGCTTACCAATACGGCACTAGAGCGACTTTTATCCTCACTGGGTGCTTTAAACTTGTAGTAGGGTTTGCTGATCAAACAAGAATTTATTTTGGAATCCCTTACTGGTAGCATCGAAAACTTTTAATCTCTTCTTTGTAATTTTTACCACACGAAACTATAAATATCTATCTATATTGTTCGGGCAGTTATCCTCATCAATGTTGTCATATTCACGATGTTTCGGCCGTTGCACGGTTCGGACTTCTTCAGGATCTGTCTATATTTCTGAAGTATTGTAACTATTTACACTGTTCGAACTGTTGACCTCATCTTTGTTGTCATATTCACAACATTTCGGCCATTGTACGCCCCGGACTTCTTCAGATGATTGAAATTTCGAACCGAACACTTTATTTCGTTCACCAGTTTAGCTTGCTCTCGTTCCACGTGCCATGCCTGTTCCTGATATCTCAGTTTCAGTTATTTCCCTCTCCAGGTTTTTGTTTACATCTGCTGTAGTCAGTTATTGAACTCACATCTCTTTTTGGATCAAGCCACTGGATTACTTCAACCAGCGCTTTTATCCGCTGAACCATGTTCCCTTGGGGAGGTTCTAATCACCTGAAGATGGCCAGAGCATACAACGGCTGGAACATAGAACGAAAGAAAAGATTGGGTTCGTAAAAAGAAATTTCAAGTCTTGGAACGGCCTAGTCAAAGTGCTGTTCTAAACCCAATTGAAAATTTGTGATTCAAGTGAAAGAAGGCAGTGCATGCAAGAAACCCAGTGACAATCGAATAATTGTGGAAGTTTTGCCAACAAGAATGGTCAAAAATCGGTACTCACTACTGCCAGAAACTTCTTAAAAATTATAGTAAATGACTGGTTGGCATAAGAACCTCAAAAGTAATAACCAAATATTAAATGTAAGAATTTACTTTTGCACGTCTGAATTTTGGCATCTTTCAATTTTTGCATTACTACTGCATCTTAATTTTAATTAATATTTTTATTCCAGCTTCATAAAAAAAATCTCCGAAATTAGTTGTAATTCATTTAATAAAGGTTTTTCTTAACAAATATATAATTTAAGATTTCTGGACTATCTGGAAAAGAGAGACAATTATTTTAAAATTAACTTTAAGAGTTCACTTTTGCATCTTTCAATATATATATATATATATATATATATATATATATATATATATATATATATATATATATGAAGAAAATATCTGGAAAAACAAACAAAATCCTTAGAATGTGATTATGTTGTTTTAATATGAATGAAATGTCGACGTCTGACGTTTCGGTTTAATAACCTTGTTCAGGACAATATTCATTAAAAATACAATACAATTAACATAATCAGTATAACTCGACGAAAACGATGGACATAAAAAACAAGTCTTATCCAAAACAGATGAAAGAAAATTTTAAATGATCAGCTTTCCGTTTGAGCGTGGTCACGTTGTCGTCAAATGGGCGACGCTTTCAAAACGTATTCTTAAAATTTTATAAAATTTGATTCCGATGGAAAGCAGTTCGTTGTAGGAATACGCGGAGACTAGTAGATTCTTGTATCTTTGGATAAGCATGCAGTCCTCCATGTAATAAAATGAATTCAGGTTTGTATTTCCAGTGGACAGTACGATAAGCAAATAGAAATGGATATAAATCCGACAGAATGAAGAAAAATATATATACATTACTCCACCGCTATATATATATATATATATATATATATATATATATATATATATATATAATTTCAGTCAAATCCATTGCATAAAGGTATGAATCCTATTCTCCCCCCCCCAGTTCAATACTGTTTTCTTTATTTCTAACGTGGTTTTTCTGTCTCTTAAAACTCTGCTTAGCTTTTGGAAGGTTTCTTCGGCTTTCCCAATACGTCTTCGGATTTAGGATCATGTCACTGCATAAATTAAATAAATCCTATAAGAAAACGCATCTTTGTTTAACTCAACTTTCTACTTTTGGGTTTTCACTGAATTCACGGTATGCAGGCTGTTTGTGATATCTTTGTTTCGGTTAATCTGCATTATAAGCACCAAAAGCCCCGCTATTGAGAATCTACCATTCTGGTGTGAAATTGCCTGGTTATTTCGACTATAACTTTAAGACATTGCGCTCTATTACCGTTTTCGATTTATCGTCAATGTTAGTTCGATCTCTTTCGCGTTGTCCGGTCGCCATTACTGGCGTTGTTTACATAGGTTTTCCTCTATTAGTCATTCGCGGAAGGTTACGTAGTTAACGGCCTTTTTACAGATTTTCGTATCTTACTGGTCTTGATTACTGCTCGGGTGTTATTTTAAAATACGCTTATTTTTAAAATGAAGTTTTATATGAATAATATATTTTCTTTATTGTCTTTAATAAATCTGCTTGTAGTTAATGAAACAGAAGCTCACCCTAAAATGTAAATCCTCTTTTCTTTTTCTTTTTTTAATTTTCAGGCACGTAATTTTTATTTTATTTTATTTTAGTTGTCGGCTTTTTTTTTTCATTCATTTCAAACTTCGCACATTGCGCAATAATCAAGACAGGTGACCTTCCGCGACACATGACTACTCGAGGCAAACGTATGTTAACAAAACCAGTAATGGCGGGCGTTCTGTGTACGCGAAGAGAAAGAATTCGGACTTACATTGTCCATAACTTCTAAACGGTAATCGAGCGCAATGTTTTAATGTCATTTTCGAAATAACCAGGCAATTTCACACCAGAATCAATATAATGAGAGAGTACATTCTCAATACGGAGGCTTTTGGTGCTTATACTGCAAATTAATTCTTCTTTCCGTATAAATCAAGCTTTTCTCGCATATTAAGTATGTCTTTGTGTCAAATTATTTTATTGTCTTTTATGCAGTCATTTCAGGATGTGGGTGATTATGGCTTACAATTACAACAGTTCATCTGAACGTAGGAAAACTTGGCTTATGTTTTCAGTTCCTTAGGGCCATAATGGGTCAAGGTGGGCCAATTAGATGTCTATGCTTTATTTTTAATTATTTCACTTCCTGGCTTCATAGGTTTTATGCCTTTCCCTTTTTTCTTTTCGTCCTGGGTATGACGATAATATACATCCAATATGTTCGTTGATCGGGAGGTTTTGTGGTGCATGAGACCACCTCTGGGTGTTCCCAGGTATTTCCTGACCCGGGGTGGTGGCACCTGTTATTGTCCCAAAAGTGGGCAGGTAGTTGACCGCCAATATGGGGTGAAAACATGTAAAAATAGGTTTTAATACCAGCAATACATTTTTGCAAAAATTATTACCAGCAATAAATTTTCGAAGAAAAAATTATTAGCAGCAATACATTTTTGAAAAAAGAATTATTAGCAAGAAATATATTTTTGGGGAAAAAATATTAACAGAAATAATTTTTGAAAATAAATATTACCAAAAATAAAAATCTTGCCGGCTTTAAATAAATCATTGAGGTTGATATGCCGTAAAACAAAACAAAACAAACAAAAACAAAACTTTTTTCTTTTTTCAGTTTCTGTTTTCTCTTCCCTGTTGTATAATATTCTCTCTTCTTCTGGAGCAGGTCTTGGGTGACAGTCTTGGGTGACGGTTTTGGGCGACGGTCTTGATTCCATTATATGTTGCATTCTTCTTTTTGTCTTTTTCCCACAGGGTAGCGAAATGTTTTCAGGTTCGGAGATAAAAAACATCAGCAAAATGGATTTTGAAAACTTATCTATTCTATTAAACATGTCGATGAGTATATATTTAAATCGCCAGTGGGTTTTCTTTATTACCCCCAGTAGGGAGCATGTTACCCGGGACAGGAAATAGCCATGTCCGCTGCGTATGACGTGTAAAAATCACTTTCTATCTCTCTAACTTTCCCACATTCGGCTCAGCTAATCAAAATCGACATCCCTATTTTGTCTACCATCTGACCTAAAAGGTTAGCCTCAGAATGTCTAAGACAAAATAGACTACCAATAAAAAATAATATTTTGAAACTATTATCTAACATTCCCCAATCTATCCATCTTTTTTCTTCGATAAGATTATTTCCTTTTCTTCTAATCTTTTTACATTTCCGTAATCGTTATTTTTTGGTTGTCTTTTCTTATTTTTACGAACATTTTAGTGAGTGTTGAACAGTTCTCACACAGATGAAGAGGAGACTTGAGGTAACATAAATATGGTTCTCATGAAGATGCTGAGAATACCATCGACAGAATATGTGAGCAAGTGTGATTTTTTTTACAAGGAAAGGGACGCAAAAATACATTTTTACTTAGAATAAGTAATATACTGTTGGAATTTTTGGAACCATCACGACGATGGAGGGCTTTGAGAATTGGATACCCACAAGGCAAGGTAGGCAGAGGAAAGCAGCGAATAATCTACATAAGAA